AAGTGGGCGACCAAGACATGCAGAGGATTGCTGATAACTACGGTTAGAAAGCTCACCTTAACCTTCAGTGGAGAAAAAGTTAAAGCCACAGCTTCAGACAAAATGATAACGGAAAGTGTGACTTTTCATTTTCAGAAGACGGCACACAGTGTGCCCTTTTGTAAGGGAGACAATTTTTGTTAGTTGCCAGCTATAATGTGGCACTGAGCCACTGAGACAGCTATACAAGCTTGTAAGCCAAGTCACAATGAGGATGAAAATAACAGCTTTTGAAGGTCCCTCTACCACTCAGACACATGTTTCAGTCTACATTTCATCTCTTTGTTGTGTATAACAGAGTATGTTCAGGTCCTGACAACAGGAGCATTTTCTGATTCCCTTGCTCAACAGTGATAAGATTGCCTTTGCTCGTATAAAATCAGAGTTTAACCTGTGAACAGGGTGTAATAAATTGAAAAGCAATCTTGGCGCAATAGGGACCCTGTAATAGTGTAACCAAAAAAAAAAAAAAAAAATAACATTACAAATTGCACAAAATGGTCTCACAAATGTCAGAGACAAATAGGATCAGGAAGTAAACCGCTGAACTGACCCCCACCCCCCCACCACCACCACCAATTAAGAGATATACTACATATACACATTAATTTCTTTAAGGGAAAGAACTTCAGACAGAAAAGTATTTAGAGGGTGTTATATGCACATGTAACAGAACTGGATTTATACCATCACACTACTATGCAGTCGCACCATCCAACAACGACCATCTGACTTTGTTCTGAAAAACTGATTTGGTCCCTGATTCTGAGCTCCGTGCACGGTTGGAACACGGGGGGTCAAATGTACAGGGGATATAAAAGGTGAGCTTGAAGCAGCCTCTCTGGCAGGACTTTAATAAAAGTATATCCTCGCATCTTTATATTCCAATGATTGTTAAATTTATTGTTAGGATTGCATTTACCTTTTTCAGATCTGCTGTCATTCAGGCTAGGGGTCTTAGTTTTCTCTTGATTTACCACCTATTTTTGTATCATTCCTGCAAAGCATTTGGCATCAAGCCGGTGATTTACTGATTGTCTGAGTGACTGATGTTCTTCACTTGCTTTGGATAAACATGTCAGATTAATGAGTAAATGTAAATGACTAGCTGGCTGGCTGAATGATTGAATCTAACAGGATCAAATTGGAACTAAATTTAAACTCTAGTAGCAATACAAATACTTTCCAAACATTTTTTGTAACAAAACCATATACTTCCAGTTAAAAAAACAAAATAAAAAAATCCAAGGTATTCAAATATCCATGGCTCTCTACTAAGTGCCAATAGTTTTGATATTAGCAATAGATGAAAATAAAAAATAAAAATATTCTGAGCACGTCTATAATTTCTCCCAACATTTGTGTTTCTCCTCTTTGACATTCTTGCCATTTTCTCTCCGTCATTAACCTTTTCAGCACACAATCAAAGTTTAATGGTAACAGTCAGAACAAAGGCGGATGAAAAAAAAAAAGGTAAAACGACTACAACGGCTATTGTTGTGCACTAAAAGCAATGAGGACATCCTAAGAGTAGGTTGATTCATCCTCGTTGTGCATCCTCCTTTTCATGATGTCCTTTAAATCCAAACACTAAAGTCAGAGCTAATGTATATAAACACCTCAAATCTCTTTTTTTTATGTTATATGCTGATTGCAAGTAGAACAGATGTTCAAACATCAACACATCAGTAATGATGTTCTCCTAAACGTTTCTGTTTCTGTCTTATTTTTTTGTTTGTTTGTTTGACCCAGCTGATATTTTACCCCAGCTTGTCCCACAAAGTTCAAATTAGCTTAAAAGTAGGGGTTGAACGAGTATATAATTTTTAAACTCGACATTAACATAATAAAACCCGAGTAGAAGTCGAGTATTTGATGACGTCATAGATCTCAAGATACAAAAATAAATAAATAAATAAAACCGCAAAAAAAGGTAATTACTTACACACAAAAAAAGACCATCAAAACATTGGGAGCATATATTATGCTCCTACCATTTATCATACTGCAAATAATACACAGGAAAAACTAAAACTATTAGTTATTATTATTAAACTGCAAACGTGAAGAAATGTGCAGCACGGCAAAAACGAAACTTAAACCGAAACTGATTCTGGTTCGGTGGATTAGACCCGGTGTTACACCATACTCTGTGACCTGCAACAGTGCAACACCGCCCCCTACGGTCATATGTGATCACATAATATGACGTCACTACGGGTACCTGACGTTACATTTATAACATTGATAGATGTCCTAGCAATCGATGTGTAGATTTCTCGAGTACTCTGTTAATGCCCTACTTAAAACCCTTTGGAACAGTAAGACTTTACATGTCAAATATTTTCAACCAAAAAATAAATTCAGTCAGAATAACTTGTGTCTGCTCGTATAAATGCAATCTGTTTTTTGCTGCATTAATTAACCCCAAACTTTCTAAATGAGTTCTAAATGATCGAGTCTCTTCTTGTCTTCCCTTTTACGCTTAAACATTTTTCTACTACCTGACTACCTGTTTAAATAAAGAGTAAATAAAGTCAGCAAAATGTCCAACTTTTGCACTTGACTTTTGAAACATTAAAACCAATTTTATAAATTTAATGGTTTTCATGGTTTCATGGTTTAATGGTTTTGCTCTCCAGGGAGTGTTAATCACCAGATTGGACTTTTAACACTGTAAATGAACAAACTATCCACTACTCTCAGCACCTCTGGGCATTTTCATCAATGAATTAATCAATTAAAGGTTTGGAGTAACAACTAATTTCTGGGAATTTTCTTGGTATTATTCAATTATTGAGCATGTATACCTGCGACCCTTTGCATGGCAACAGTGTTTTAATCGTTCTGAACGCCAAATTCCTGTCCATCAGCTACTGCAGAAAGGACAGCACGTTGCCTAGTGGACATGAGGTGGCCTCCACACCTTTCTCTGTACACCTTTTAAAAAATGTTTTATCAGCGGAGGATTAAAGGCTGTTCTGTCTCCAAAAACTTCGTGACAAGAAGAGATGGCTGCAGCATACGTTTTAATCGTGCTGCATGCCAAATTTCTGTCCATCAGCTGCTGCAGAAAAGACAGCACGCCGCCTAGTGGACATGAGATGGCCTTTACACCTTTCTCTGTACACCAGCGCTGAAAAGCTGTCCACTTTGATGTGTACAGCGCTGTGGTGGATGCCACACGTGAATCATGGATTGTGCGCACTACATCTTGCGGGAGACCTATCCTCTCTAAGCGGAACTGCTCAGCGGTCAGGCCCACAGGTGCTGGCCTATTTCTGGGTAACACCTGATCGCTCCTCTCACCTGGAGGAGAGCTTCCTCCCTCCACAGCAGTTTCCACGGGCGCCCCGATAACAGACATCGTAGAACCGGGAACCATGCTGCGTTCACGCGCACGGGAGCCACCAGGACAGCTGTCAATCCCTCCTCCTGAACTTGGTTCAGAAACTGTAATATATGAGGAGGCGGGGGGAACGCATAAAGAAGCATTTTTGGGCCATGGCTGTGAGCAAACATGTCCACCCCCAGCTGTGGTTCGTCTCGCGGGGTCCATGAAAACCATAGTTGACAATGAGCGTTTTCTCATGTTGCAAACAGGTCCGCGGTCCACTCCCCATGACTCGGACCATCCCTGGACATCACATCTGCCCTTTGTTCAGAACACCAGGGATGTACACTGCTCTGATGGAGAGCAGATTTTGGTGTGCGCAACACAGTAGTTTTCTCGCCATGTGTAACATTTGGGCTGAGCGCACACACCCCTGCCTGTTTATGTAAGCAAAAGTAACCTTGTTGTCTGTGTGAATCAAAATGTGTTGGTTCTGCAGCACAGGAGCAAAGTGTTAAATCACATTCATAACCATGCAACATTCCAGAATGTTTATATGAGCTGTTGTGAGACAGGTCACAGCGCCCCTACAGCTTGAGATAGGCATGTCACCCCCCAATCTGACAACGACGCATCTGTGAACACTGACACGTGTGACGTAGGTCTGCTGACAGGGACTCCCTCCGACAAAACCAGGGGGTTTCCCAGTGTCGGAGATCTGTTCTCACGGAGGGAGGAACAGTGATCGTCTGTCTCTTTTGCCTCACCAGATCCATGCGCAGACAAGCAAACAATCTCTGAAGGCATATCATGTGTAGTAAACCCAGCAGGGCCACTGTGTGAGCTGACAACATCGTTCCTAACAGCTTTACAATGGAAAATAACTGTTACTAGTCTGCCCGGTTTTACGTGGGGGAGCTGGACTCTTAGAGAGTCGATTCTCGTCTGTGATAAACGAATAAACGAGCCCTCATGGGGGTCGAGTTTAGCCCCACTCCCAGATAACAATCGTCTGGGCCAGGAGAATCGAGCTATTCCAATTTTAAGGCGAAGCCCAAAAATAGCAGGTGTGACATCAACACCTGAGCCTGTGCCGACATGTGAAGCGGTCTGCCCACGATCGCCTTGTTGAAAAACTGACAGGTACAAATCGGTCTCGTTCCTCTGGTCCGTTTGGAACCAGGAAGTAACATGAGTAAAAAAACTATGTTTTCCTCTCCGTCGGGAACCCTTGGACTTCTGCCTTTAGGGATGAGACCTGGTCTGGTGATGACAGGACCGTCTCTAAAAACTCCTCCGAACGGAGGGGGTCGGACTGCAAGTTGTAACGTGTAACCCCTGCTATCAGCTTGGCCATCCATCTGTCTGGCGAGCAAGCTCGCAGCCACTATGCATAACGTTCGTCGAGTGGGCGTACATTTAGGTGGTGTGTCGTGTTTTTACGGATGTCAGTCAATCCACCGCCTCGACCACCGTCATGAGCCGCGGGAGTGTGTTCCACGTGAACCAAGGCGAGGCTTCCTCGAAAGGGCTCTGAGTGTGCCTGTGTGCTGCGCTCGGGCTGCGGGTCCACATTCATGTCTATGTAGACCGGCATGTGTTGAGGAGAGGCGTGTGAAAACTGTTGATGCCGCGGGAGCGCGGGTTTGACCCCACTGCGGTGAGACGCGTGCATTGGCTCAGCCCCCCCACTACTGACACTACGCTCTCCAGGAGGGAATGAGCAGCGGGGGGTTGCTGCTGACGTCGCCTGTCCCGGAGGAACCATCCGATTCGCTCCGAGAGTCGGCGATAAAAGGAAAATTACAAGATGGCATTGTCCAGCGTGTAGCGACCTGCCACTGAGAATACTCCTCGGCGCTTACCTTGAAACAAGACTGCTTGTCTGCTTCTCCTCGGGGAGGAGAACTCACCGGGACGATAGGAGTTTGACGTGGCGGGGTCACAGGCAGTCTTAACAAGGTTGGTCAAGTTAGGCAACTTTCCTTCTTGGTTCTTCTGATAGTACTATTAGCTCGCTGAAGAAAAATGGGAGCCGATTACCCGCTCTTAACGTAATTTATACGGACAGGGTGGGGCCCACACAGCAGGTGGACATGGACTAAATTTTTCAGTGCAATGCTTCGCATGACGGGATAGACACACTAAGCGACAGCTCTTAAAGGGCGAAGCCTATATGAAATAGAACTGTCCACTACTCTCAGCACCTCTGGGACTTTTCATCAATGAATTAATCAATTAAAGGTTTGGAGTAACAGCTAATTTCTGGGAATTTTCTTGGTATTATTCAATTATTGAGCATGTATACCTGTGACCCTTTGCATGGCAACAGTGTTTATTAATTTGTCAAAAATAAATCCTGATAAAAACATTTACATTGAGAATATATTACACCCCAAAAGCAACACATTAAAATCAAAGAACAAATATGACAGACTATCATTAATTTGAGCTCATTTACTGTTTCTCAGTGTGCAGGATGTTGCGAGGCAATTGTGTTAATGAGCTACATCATTCATGTGAAATGATGGCACAATTAGGAAAACAAAAGTGCAAGGTGTGACAATTTAAGTGAATGTGCTTTGTCAGTGTCTTCAAACAACACCTCGGAGACAGCAAATGCATAAAAGCTGGCTCAAAGGAACGTTGCCGGAGGCTTAGGGGTTGAGCGTTTCACCGACAGATTTCTGCCTTCCTGTTCAGCACCCTAACTATGCTCACACAAGAATCCCCTGCTGAAACATTGTGGCAGGAAATGAAATTAACGCTACTGAATTCAGATGTGTTTGATTCATGCTTCTTCGCATGTGCACGGCTGAGTTCATGTTAAGAAAAATAAAGTCTGAAAGATGAGGTCTGGCAGCTGCACCCCGGCAGCATGAAACCTTGCAGGATTTGTAAATATTGTCTCTCCCTTTCCCTCAAAAAGTCACTCACCTTAGGGATCAAGAGGCTTATATGAAAGGTGACTTGCAGCAGAGCAAGTGCTCTGTCTATTGATGTGAATAACATCAACCTTCTTGGCATTGGTAGGAACAAAACCCATTTTCCTCTGATCTTTTTTTCCCTCCTCACCAGTGAATCCTCTACCCTGTAAATGCACATTTTCTAACTCGACCCAGTAAAGGTTGTCCTTTTTTTTTCTGCTCGTCTGTACACAGATGTTAAAACAGCCTTACCTAGCACCCGCAACCTCATTAGTTATACCAGCCTGTGCAGCGAGTGGGATCTAACTACTCAGCTTATATTAGCATGTAATGCTGCTTTAGTGAACTAATGAAACTGTAATTACAAAAATAATGAGGACTATGCTGAATCATCTACTGACTTTAGGGCTAGCTGTTTGTAAAGAGGTGTGCAGGGTTTTACTTTCCAAATTTTTATTGATTTTTGACACACACACATCCTCCCCCCGCTATTATAGAGCGTGCATTCAAAGCACACCCAGCATTTGTGCTGTGAATTTAAGACTTCAGGGAACAATTTGCTGCATATTGGGTGTTTGTATGATGCATTTGTGATGTATACCAAGGAACTATGTAGGCTATGGTCCATTTCCTGCGCTAGTTATAAACTTATTGTCCCCAGCGGGCCTCATTTAGCAAAGTGCGCACTATGTTGGGCTACGTTTAGTATCTGTGCTTCACTACTTTCAGCAGAAAGCAGCAGCATCATTTAGATATAGACATCTTGAACACTTATCTGAATTTACATGATGCGCTTTTTGTTAAATTGCTGAATATTTCAACAAACATTAATTAAATACACATTTACAAAGCTGAAACAAATTGTGGTACCCTTTAACAAAATCTTTTGTCCTGTCTCCTCTTTTCATTTCAGCTACACACAGACTTGGATGTTGGCAACAAGAACATCAAATACGTTCTTGCAGGTGAGGGAGCAGGCACCATTTTTGCAATCAACGAGCTAACTGGGGACATCCATGCCATGAAGAGGCTGGACCGTGAGGAGAAAGCCGAGTACACGCTAACAGCACAGGTCATTAACGCCGACACAGACGAGCCTTTGGAGCCGCCATCTGAGTTCATCATTAAAGTTCAGGACATAAATGACAATTCACCGCAGTTCATTGAAGGCCCATACCACGCATCGATTCCAGAAATGTCTGCTGTTGGTAAGTTACAGCTGACAGACCTCATTCCTTCCCTCCGCCTCACACAGCAGCCTAATCAGTGTGTGAGATTTCCAAGACGGCTGATTTCTAGTGGGCTATCGCAGAACAATAATGTGTAAAACAGAACAAGAGGAAATGAGTGTGCCTGTTTAAATGCTTGCCTGCAATGAGCATCTTAGCAAATTGAAATGTAAGAACATTGAATCAAATCATATTTCATAAACTCATAGCTAAGCCATGCAATATCAAAACTAGTGTCTGGGTCAACATGGACACTTGTCTTTTTGTTCACAGTCTAAACAAAGAACACCTTGAATGAGTGTGTGTAATATTTTGAAATAACAATTAAATAAAGGTCTACAAAGGGTTTTTGTGCACACTCACAATTTGTCACTTAGCAAAACAATTCAAATATATTTTGTCACAATGTGGTGCAGTACAACTTCTGTCTTTTCATTTTGGCTTCGAACTATAATATGTTAAACAACTAGCTTCTGAGTTAACATGATGTTTTGCAGTTGTCTCCTTTGAACAAAGTGGTGTCATTTGCTCAGTTTGGGATATGATTTTTTTGAATGTTCTCTTTTATTTAGCACTTTTTCTTGTTGTTGTAACCCATTTATAAATATATATATATATATATATATATATAGATATATAT